AGGAGGGCTTCCTCTTCTTCTCTCCCTCCTCTCTCTCTCTCTCTCTCTCTCTCTCTCTCTCTCTCTCTCTCTCTCTCTCTCTCTCTTTCTCTCTCTCTCTCTCCCCTCCATGTCTTTCCTTCCTCCTCCTCCTTATCTCTTCGTCTTCGAATCTGAGAGTGTGAGAGGTTGTCAGTAGGGATTCAGGCAGAGGTTATGCTGGGCGCATCGCCCAGGATCTGATTCGACATTTCTGGGACAGACATTGATTGGACACTCGCCAAGGGACTATTTTTTGGATTTCGCTATTGCGATCTTGGTCTACTCCCTCGCCTCCTTCCTCCTCGTCTCGTCCCTCCCCCATCTCTCATCCGTGGTATCTCCCCATGTATGTGTGCGCAGGAGGGACGTCAGATCAGATCTTCTCTTTAAGTCTTCCACTGCGCCCTTTATGCCATCTTGGATGTATTCGGAATGTACATTGCTTGTTGATGCTACGCTGACCTTGCATTGTCCATTTCAGTCCTTTTCATCACACAGCGGATCCTTGGCTCCCTGCGCATTGTCCCACGGGACATGCGTCAGAGAGAGAGAGAGAGAGAGAGAGAGAGAGAGAGAGAGAGAGAGAGAGAGAGAAGGCATTGCCATCATTACCATCTCTCTCTCTCTCTCTCTCTCTCTCTCTCTCTCTCTCTCTCTCTCTCTCTCTCTCTGTGTGTCAATGTTTATTTCCATCTGTTACCACATGACTCTTTCCAATTTGATGCCCGCTGTCTCTCTCTCTCCCTCGCCCTCTTTCTGTTAGACATCGGCTGAGAGAGAGAGAGAGAGAGAGAGAGAGAGAGAGAGAGAGAGAGAGAGAGAGAGAGAGAGAGAGAGAGAGAGAGAGAGAGTGTTACACGCTGCGCCTGCAACAGGCTGGACGGTCCATTTCCAGGCCCGTGACGTTTTCAGACCAAAAGCCTGAAAACAAGGGCCTACAGGCCCTGTGTCGTTTCAGCCTGAAAGCCTGAAAACAAGGGCCTACAGGCCGTGTCGTTTCAGGCTAAATCAGGGCCTTTCCGGCCCTGAGTGTTTTCAGGCTGAAACTGAGGGCCATTTCCAGGCCCTCATCAGTTCGACCTGCCCTGAAACTCAGGCAACAAACCAGGGTTTTAGCACAGGCCATTTCGGGCCTGTTTTCAAGACAACCCCTGGTTGAGCTTCAACGCCAGGGTCTGGCACGTTTCGGCATTGGCAAGAGCAGCCTCCTGGACGGGGCAGCACTATATAGGACTGGCCCACCCTGCAGGCAGGCAGGTAGTTCCTAGGTACTTCCCAGGCACTTCACGTGCAGTTCAGGAGGCAGGAGGTAGTCTTCAGGATTCGGCAGCAGCACTCTGGAGGAGCGCTGCAGGAGTAGTAGTAGCGTTAGCAGTAGTCTTCAGCGCTGGGCCCTAGTAGCGTTAGCTGTAGTCTTCAGAGCTGGGCGCCATAGCAGTTAGAGTAGTACCATAGAGAGAGAGAGAGAGAGATTGGGCGGAGGCCAGAGGGACTTACCTGCAGCGCCATTGCTCCAGCTTCGTCTTCGAGGTACCTGCAGCACAGCGCCATCTTCACAGGTTAGTACCTGGCACATGAGAGAGAGAGTTCTTCTTCCTCTTCTCAGTCCACCATCTCCTTCTCACCCTCTCGCTATCTGACTTCACTGCATCAGCAGACTACGAGGGAGAGAGAGAGAGCTTGGTGAGATTTGGATCCAGACTCGACGTTGGACTTCAGACATTTTGAAGAGGGATTATTTGGGACTTGTAACGAGACTTGGTGTTGACGACTTTCCCATCTCCCCCTTCCTCTTCTTCGTCTGATCCCCTCCTCTTCGTATGTGTATGTCTGGACCTGGCGCCTCCTTCCTGTGTATAGCGCCAGTCCCCTTCACACCTTGTGATGAGCATGATGTATGTTTGTGATGAGCATGATGTATGTTTGGTCTGCGTTGCAACATTGATTGGGCTAGTCACTGGTATTCTAGCATTCTGCTGCACTGTCTTGCACTACGTGAAAGAGGTCAGTCCCGATCAGGTCAGGACTTGTATCTAAATCTTCCACTGCGCTATAAAACACCACTTTGTATGTATCACTGGCAGGATGTACACTGCTTGTTGAGATTCTACTTGCACTGCATTGTCCATTCAGTCCTTTTTATCACATTGCGGATCCTCGGTTTTACATATTCATCGCCCAACTGGGCATGTAACAGTTGGTATCGGAACACCGCACGTGAATCAGGACAACCTGATCTGACATGTGTGCGGAAACTAGGTAGCTGATTAGTCTTGATTGATTGATTAGAGCACACTAGTTAGCCCTGCAAGGAAAATAAGCAACAGCGAGATGACAATTCCAGATCACACTATGAAATTGAAAGCCAGATAGTCACACCGTGTCCAGAGAGCAGCATTGCACCAATAATACACCAATGGAGGTTCGTAGCACTGAAAACCAATGTTCATAGAGAGCATACTCTCTCCTCTCAACACAAGAGTCCAGTTCCTTCACACTCTCACTTGGCGCTCAGCGCCCAGCCTACTCCTACACAGCCACTACAGACTACGAAATGACATTTCAACTGTTGACATCAGCGGCAGCCCGAAGTACTTGAAGATGTCGCCCATGCAGAACATCGCCAATACAAGGTATGTGCCCTCACATCATCATCATCATCATCCTTCACCTATCCCCTGACTACATCCACGTCTGTCCTCTGTTTCACCCGAAGACCACCCCTGCGCCTCACTGTAGTCCAAGCCCACCAGCTATGGTGGCTGGGCTACGGCGCTGCCCTCAGCAGCGCCCTGCTTTCCTGCACGACCGCACGTGCTGCACCTCGSCTCTCAGCACCAGCCAGCAGCCGCGAGCCTTTGCTCCAGCAGCGCTGCCGCCAGCATGCGAGTGCCTGAATGAGGCTGCCAGGGGGAGAGCTCTTTCCTTTATGGAAAGAGCCGGCCTGCTCGCGCAGCCTGGCTGGACTGGCCTGGGCCCAGAAGCTTCCGGAAGGCCCCAGGAGGCTGCCTGGATGCAGCAGCTACTGGGCTGCTGGGCCTTGTTCGGCTGGGCGCCCAACTGTCTCTGTATGAGGCTGCGAATCACGCCAAGGGCCTGCATTCTTTGGAAAAGGCCCGAAGGGCCGTGGAAATGTCTTTGTTGCTCGGCCTGTGTTTCTCTCAACCAACTGATGCGTCGCAACTGCCTGGACCCCAAATATGAAATTGACAGTCGAGGGCCTCTTGCAAAAAGCCAGGCCCGCCTTCACTTAGAGCGGGCACCTCCGCCTTCACTTAGGGCGGGTAATGCTGCAAACAGGGCCCCATAGGCCTATCGAGGACCCTGATCCTCGCAGCCCCCAAAATCACGATTTTGACCTCACTGCCGAAAATCAATTTTTTTCTTTTTTTTTCTTGGATTTTGTTTTCCCGCTATATCTGTTGTGGAGGGCCTTACTTGGCACCCGCTACCCAAGAGATAGACCACTGGATCCCCCGATCGGCATCAAGCAGAGTCTGCTATGTTCGTAGGGGAGGGGCCTGAGGGGAGGCACGGGGGATTGGTCCGCTTTATCCCTGGTGCTAACGGCCGTCCCCTGGCCGGTATCCTGCAGGCTCGAGGGGCTGTAAAAACACGGCTCTGACATGCTACGGCTTTCCCCGTATGCCTATAGGTAGGAGTAGTGGTAGGTAGGTAGTGTGAGGAAAAATTGAGAGAAAAAAAATAATAAAAAATAAAAATGGCAATAGTGCAACATCTGAAATTTCTGTTTTCGTTTTCTTCTGAAAATCGGAAATTTCGTTGTTGGAAATCCGGAATATCTTTTTCTCGAAAATTTCGATCTCCTTTTGCAATTTCCCGTTATTTGGAAATTCGGAATATTTTTTTCCAAAATTCGATTTTTTGAAAACGGTACGGGAAATCCCTGTTGCAGTATCATTTTCCAAACTGCGAATACTCTCATCTGAGTAAGTCTGAATACTTGTTATTTCTTTTTGGATTTTTTTTTATTCGCAGTTCTATGATTTTCACTACCTGATAATCATTGGCAGTGTGAAGTTCGAAATTTTTTCTCATTGATAATTTCACACTTCAAGGGAGGTTGGGAGACCTACTGAACTTGAAAAACTCGGGACTTTTATTTTCTTGAATTTTTTTTTTTGCAAAGTTCAAACTTTTCAGTTTTTGATTGGTGGCTCCTTATCTGGGCAATTTATCCCCACCCACCCCTCCCCACCTATGTTGTTGCCCCCTCTCGCCTTACCTTTTCTATCTGTCTTCGGGTACCCCCTGCAGCGGCATTGGTAAGTTGCAGCAGACCACGTCAGCGGACCACGCAAGCAGGACACGTCAGCAGCCACGTCAACAGTAGGGAGTGCCACATCAGCATGCCCCAGCTTGATCTATGCTTACGCGCTCGAAAACAGCCGTCATGGACCAGATGTCAGGGGAAACGGACGAGGCCTATCAGGCCCGGATGCTGCTTCTGATTACTGAAGCTAAGCAACGGTCGGATGCAGTAGCAGCCACAGCTAGGCAGAAGGCAGAGGACACCGAGAAGGCACGTCTGTTGACAATCGAACAACAGCGACAGCACGACGAGGCAGCAGCAAAGACTGCCGATGAAGAACGAGTCCAACGCCGCGATAAGATATTCAGCGGAGAGCAAACTTTGCTCACAATGGCAGCGGATTGGCGGGCCGAGGCCGAGAATGGCAAGATGGAAGAGAGTGAAAACAAGATCGCTCTACTACTCTCCCATCTCACGGACCTCCTGGCAACACGCATTACACAGCAAGAGGATATCCACAGCCTCGACGACGCGTTGACTAAAGTCCACGGTCGCCTCCGGCAGCTGGAGAAGCGACCCGTCGCCGCCCCCGATGCCAGCTCTTCCAACACCTCCGATCGCCTCGAGGCATTGGAGATTGACGTCGGCTCCCTCAAGGACGACGTGCAGTTACAGCAAACCGCAACGCAGCGGATCTGTACTACCGCCAACCACTCGAGCTCAGAACCACGCGAGACAGCTCCAAAGTTCGATGGGCAGGAGATTTTCTGCGACTTGACGAAGACAGACCCGATTCCATGGTTCCGCAAGTTCGAGCTCACCTTGCAGCTACACTACGTCAAAGAACACAAGCACCACGGGTACTTATGCTTCTGGTCGGGGGGTGCGTGCCAAGCATGGTTGGACAATCCCTTGTCCAAGTACGGAGTGGTAGCTGTCGACTTGCATACCAAGATCAGCGGGGATGATCTAAAGGCGGCGTGGCATAAGCGGTTCCAAGTAGAGTCGTCGGAGATCAAGGCAATGGACAAGCTGATGGTCTTCGAACAAGGCACGCTGCCGAGTGTTGATTGGATTGTCGAGTACCAACGCTTGACATCCGTCCTATTCATTCAAATGGGCTTCAAAGCCATCAAACACTACTTCATCTCGAGGTCGTGTCCGACGTTGGGCAATGCCTTGACTCACAAGGCCGCGCAGAGTATTGTCACGAACAAGGAGGCCAAGAATCTCCAGCGTTCGTTTGCGCCAGGCCTGAGCAGAGATCAGCATCGGTCGAAAGTCTTTGTGGTCGCAGAGGCAACGCCAAACGATTAAACTAGCGAGGTCGTGTCTGCCAATGAAGGGTACAGACTCGCAGCCTCCTGGGAAGGTGGCCGCCCCGGCAAAGGCCGAGGACGCGGCAAGGCGAAGACAAACACTGCATCTAGCCACGGGCCCGGCGCAGCAGCTCCAGCCCTATGGTCCTATAACGGTCTCTCCGAGCAAGCATTCAGGGCACGCACAAGATTCCGCTATTGTCTGTGGTGTAACAACGATCTCCACGACAAAATGGCCAGCCAGTCGAAAGGCAAGGGCAAATCGGGAAACTGAGCACCGCCGAAAGTGACTCGACGATACTCTCGACGCCTTCGGAACCGGTCACTTCGTAGGTGACCGCCCTTCGTTCCAAGGCAGATGTGGAAGTCGATAGTCCCCCTCTTCTTTATTCTTTTGAGAACTATGCTGCCCGACTCGTTCCTACGCTGGGTACTCATGCTCAAGGACAAGACGTGTGTGCGACATCTTCTCCGTCCGGCAGTGGCGACTTATCGTCTTCAAGTAGTTCTTCACGGGATTCAGTGTGTGAGTTCAACATAGAGGTATTGGACCCACTCACGTTCGAGGATTTCGCATGGCTTCCTCTCCCGACCACGGGCCGCTTGTCGGGACCGCAATGCGCAGCACTATGCGCTCATCTTCACACGTACTTCTCCTTCTATGCACCACCAACTTCACCGACGGATGACGAAGTTGCGGTGGGGGACATCCTTGCGTATGTTACCAAGGTGGCCCGCGAGTTTCGCAATCAGCGGTACGATGACAACAACGCACCGCTCCTCTATGTCCGCATCCAAGTTGGGCAAGCATTTTGCAGCGCTTTGCTGGATAGCGGCGCGTCTCGCAATTTTATGAGCCAAGCCTTTATGCGAAAGGCTGGCCTTGGCACACAAGTTCAAAGGAAGGCAAACCCGACAGCGACCAAGTTGGCGGACGGAAGGACACAACAACTTATCGACCACTACATCAAGGCCGTACCGGTGTATTTTGCACCTCATGCATGCGAACCGGTGACATTTGACATTTTGGACACGGACTTCGACATTATTTTGGGAATGTCTTGGCTTGCAAGTGCGGATCACACAGTCCAATTCCACCGGCGGACTCTTACCGATCGCGACGCCTTCGGTGCCGAAGTGTCATGTACTATTCCTCTTTCGCACCCTTCGATTCGGTGCCAAGTGGTGACGACCAAGTCATTCCGGGCTACTTGTGCTTACGAGTAGCCCGACGAAATCGGCCTATGTTTCCTACGGACTGCCGCGGTAGCCAACTCTTCACCCACGGACTTGTCTTCGGACCCTTGTGTGGTTTCTTGACTAGTTTGCCGAGATCTTCGAGTCACCTACCAGTGTGGTGCCGGATCGGCCGATCTCTCACGAAATCATTCTTGAGGCCGGTGCCATGCCGCCGAAAGGTTGCATTTATCGCATGAGCGAGGAGGAGCTTACGGTCCTCCGCGCACAACTCGATGATTTGTTGGACAAGGGTTGGATCCGCCCTAGTAGCTCTCCATACGGAGCGCCAGTTCTCTTCGTACGGAAGAAGAACAAAGATCTACGATTGTGCATCGACTACCGCAAGCTCAACACGCAAACCGTCAAGAATGCGGAGCCTCTTCCTCTCATCGACGATTTTCTTGAGCGATTGGGCGACGCAAAGTATTTTTCTAAGTTGGATTTGAAGTCGGGATATCATCAAATCTCGATCCGATCGAAAGATCGTTACAAATCTGCGTTCAAGACGCGGTATGGGCATTTTGAGTGGGTGGTCATGTCTTTTGGCCTCACCAACGCCCCGACGACCTTTCAAGCGGCAATGACCAACGAGTTCCGTGCAATGTTGGACCGGTTCGTGCTGGTCTACTTAGACGATATTCTCGTCTATAGCCGGTCATTGGAGGATCATCTTGAGCACCTTCGACGAGTGTTGGAGACGCTCCGCCGCGCCAAGTACAAGGCCAACTGGGACAAGTGCGAATTTATCCGGCAAGAGCTGGAATACTTGGGCCATTTTGTCACACCGGAGGGCATCTGTCCGCTATCGGACAAGATTCAAGCCATCCAAGAGTCCGTCGTGCACTCCATTGACGATGCACGCAAGGAGCTCCTCGCCTTCATCCACGCACTCAAGCGGTGGCAGCACTTCCTCCTTGGTCGAAGCCAATTCCGGTGGGTAACGGACAACAATCCGTTGGTCTTTTACAAGATCCAAGACACCGTCAACAACACCATTGTTCGATGGATGACTTTCATCGACCAGTTCGACTTCTTTCTCGATCACATTTCGGGGAAGTCGAACCGTTTTGTGGATGCTCTTTCACAGCGTCCGGATCATTGTACCACGGTCTATTCAACCTTCAAGATCGACAACGACCAGCGGGACAACTTCATCCGCAGCTACCAAGCCGACCCCGAGTTTCGAGACAAGTACGCGAATTGCTCCTCTCCTAATCCAGCGCCTTCTCACTACCGGATCCAAGAGGTGTACTTGCTTGTCCACACACGGGGGAAGGACCTTCTTTGCGTACCGAGTGACCCTCACTTGCGTACACGGCTTCTTGGCGAGTTCCACGATGCTCCCACCACCAGACACTTTGGAGTCAACGCGTGCGATTTTGATGGCCCGGCCTTCTCGGCGACGTCACACGCAATTGCGAGTCATGCGAGGTTTGCCAACGCTGCGAATCCCGCAACCATCGTCCATACGATGAGCTGCGACCATTACCGGTCCCCTTGCAGCAAAGGGAAGCGATTGCCATGGACATTACTGGCCCATTCCCCAAGCACAAGATCGGCGTGGATGGGAGTTTCATGGTGGTCGACCGACTCACCAAGTTCGCCATGTTTTTGCCTTGCCGCTATCATGCCAAGGCACCGGAGTTGGCCGAGCTTCTTTACTGAAACGGTTTTCATCTTTTAGCAGTAGCGAATACAGATCCCAGGGCTCGATCCCTAGTTCTCACCTCAACTGTGTACAGTATCTGTGTCAACCCCGAGTGTTTGAACCCGTGACTTGACAGTTGTTGTTGTCTGTCGTAGGTCTGTGTAGTGGTAGGGGTTCGATCTGTAGGTCTGTCGAGTAGGAGTCACAACCCTGTACAGGTCGTAGCTGTAGGGATCCTGAAAGGTCAAGGTCGTAGCTGCTACAATCCTGAAAGGTCAAGGTCGTAGCTGCTACAGTGCTCGAAAGGCCAAGTGCACGAACTTCCGGAAGGTCCAGAAGTGGCCTTTCGAAGCTGCTCACGTTTGAGACAGAGGCAAGTGGGCAAGTGGTGGAGTCTACCCGTGCTGAGTCAGCAGTCCCAGTCCCAGTCAGTCCTAGTCCAGTCGAGCAAGTACCGTACGGGACTGTGTGCACCACGGGCATGGGAAAGGGCCAGACCAACGAGCTACAAAAGTATAAATTGAGAGGCAGCGACCAGCCATTCATTCATTTTCTTGCGTAAACCATGCGGAAGCACTGCCATAGCGACTTGTGCGAGGTGGTCTGCAGCCCGAGGACGAAGTGGGCGAGAAGAAGCTTAGCCATAGCGATAGGGTAGCAGCGGCCATAGCCGCCATAGCTGTAGATGTGTGCGTGTGTGTGTGAGTGTACAAAGTGTGATGTGTGTGGGATATCCAGGGTGATCCTGTGTGCGAACAGCAGTGTCGAGTAAGTGACGAACAGAGAGTTGTACAAGCGATGTGCCGCCATAGCCAGTTGAAGTGGAACTTGTATCTAGGTTTTGTTCTGGGTTACCATATCTCTGAGTTCTGAGTGGGCGCTTGACGCCAGTTTGCTGCTCGGTGTGGCACGGTAGGCCCAAAATTCGAGCTGTGGGCTGCACAACGGGCCGTCTAAGTCTTGAGAGAACCTGGTGACCGCGTCGTCCTGTCTACGGCGTTAAAGAATTCCTGAGGAGTTACGGGGGATCTCCTTAAATGCCTCCTGGTCAGCAACAGGTTCTGTAGTGACGGCTGTAGTTATTAGAGTCTAGGCTAGAGACCATAGTTGATAGGATCCAGTCCGGATTTTGTGGTCCTTAGATTGAGTCAGTAGGTCGTGTCAGTTAGAGGGTAGGTCTAAGTGGTGAGGAGTGGGACAGTCTCTGTCGTGCACCTAACACCATGGACGATTACCCTATGTACGGCTTGCTTGTGGGGTTCTCCGTGTGGGGGACCCTATGGCGTCTCCTCTTCCCTCTGGGATTTTGAAACACCTTTACGTGCAGAGTAGATACGAGGGGTGGTATGACTACCAAGCCTTACACAGCAAAACAGGAGGCGAAAGCCGCCGCCCTCCTGAAAGAGAGAAAAGAAAAGAAAGAGGCCAAGAAGAAGGCCCTGATGGAGGAACAGGCGGCGAAGTTGAAGAAGATTGAGGAGGAAATGGCCAGAGAGAGAGAGAGAGGCTGAGAAAAGAGCAGGAAGAGAAGTTGAAGGCGGTAGAAGAGGAGGAAGAGGTAGAAGAAACGCCACGGGAGAGGAGAAGAAGGGGGCAAGGAGGTGAATCCAGTGGAGAAGAAAATTACAGAGTGGGTTGCTGGTTTATCCCTGGGGGAAGAAGAGGAGGCATTGATGTATGTGCCCAGGGAAGAACAAGAGGCCGCCATGAAAATGTGGGATGCAGAAGAAGACCCACTCAAGCGGCAGGCGATAGAGGATGAGAAGAGGATGGAGTGGAAATTCCGATTGATGAGGGAGAGGAAAAGGAGAACGGAGGCTGCGAGCGAGGCGGCGAAAGAATTGGAGGAGGTGAAGAAACAAAGAGAGCAAATGGCGGCGCATGTGGACCTATTGGGGAAGATGGAGATAATGGCGAGGAACATAGAGCGCCTGGCATAAGTCCAGGAAGAATAATATCTATTTGGTAGAGGTCAGGACACTGCCTTACGCTCTGTACGGCTGGGGCTCCGGGACTTCGCCAAGGAATTGGTGACTTAGGTGGGCTTAGAGGTGAGGGCCCGCCTAGAGGGCACGAAATGTTATTGCACAGGCGCCATAGAAGGCGCCAAAATGGCCGCTCCCAAGGAGGAGGCACGTCCCCGTAGGGAGCCGGTCAAGGTCAAGTTCCCTGACTCCTATAGTGGGAAGAAGGAGGAAAACTTTGACAATTGGGAGGCTAACATCAAGACGTACGTGCACCTGCAAAAAGTTGCCCTAGACGAACATGTCCTGATAGTTATTCACGCCCTTCGGAAGGAAGCAGCAAGCTTCACCCGTTCCCTGTGTCGTGCCGCCAATTGCAACGATGATCTCGTTGCCTATTCTGCGTTTACGCCCCTCAATGATTTTCTTAAGTTATTAAACCACTGGTACCTTTCCCGCATGGGAAAATAGGGAAAACTGGTTGTTTTCCCAAACTCCTGAATTTTCAGAGGTCGGGCCCGACGACGGCTGCCATTGATAAATTTGATCGGCGGCTGTCGTTTCGTTTCGGCCTCTGAAAAGGTCGGACGCCTACCCGAGGCCCGCTATTTTCCCAAGCCGCAAAGGTACGCGTGGGAAAATAGTGAAAACTGGTTGTTTTCCCAAACTCCTGAATTTTCAGAGGTCGGGCCCGGCGACTACTACCATTGATAAATCTGATCGGCGACCGTCGTTTCGTTTCGGCCTCTGAAAAGGTCGGACGCCTACCCGAGGCCCGCTATTTTCCCAAGCGGCAAAGGTACTAGTGGTTTAAGGGAACGGTTTGCAGACGTCTTGCGTAGTGTCAAAGCCTTTGATAGGCTGCAAACCATCCACTCCCGCCAGTGGAAGAGTGCCAAGGCACTCAAGGGCGTAATGGACGAGTTAGTCGCCATCCCGGACCATGGGGTCACAAAGACCCAATTGGTCAACCTCTTCCACCGGGCTATGCCCGAACAATTACGAGGGCACTTCTTCGAGAAGAGCCAGCAGCCCGCCATGACCTACGACGCATTGAGCAGGGAAGTGGTGGCGTTCGAAGCGTGGTCCATGTCAATTTTCACTTTTTGGCATAAGGACCTGGATAAGGGTAAAAAGTGGAATGGTCGCACCATCTCGGGTCAGGTCAAGACCAAGGATCGTTTGATCCTTACATTAGATGAGGGTGGTGTCGATGAGGTCCCCTACGAGCAGATTGAGTGGGGACTACAGGAGGAGGATAGTGGCGTTAGCCAGGGGAGGACTTACGCTGCTGTCGCGGTTGGAGGGAGGCCGCAAGGAGGAGGTAGAGGCCAGGGCCTCAGGGGGCTGTTCCCAGGGCGATCAGGGGGTTGGTGGTAGAGGAGGAAACCGCCAAGCGGGAGGAAGGGCTAAAGGTCCCCCGCAAAACCATTCAGGGAATAGGTCGCCTAATAGGGGTAATAGATCACCCTATAGGAGAGGAAACTGGCACCCAGGTCTGCCGCAGTGCCGGCCTTGGGAAGATTTGGGCCTGGACCAACGCGTCTAGCAACAGCGTGTGGACCAGGGGCAATGCATATATTGCGGTGACCCTGGCCATGTCATTAAATTTTGTCCAAAGTATAGAAAGGCCCGATGGGCTGCCCAGGGGTCAAAAGGCAGCCGCCAGTAGGGGTAGCAACTGCCCCTACCATAAGGCCATGTGGGGAAATTAGCGCGAGCCGGCAGGAATCTCCCACACCACATGTGCCTATGGCAGAGGTTGCAGGCCGGTGCCTAGATAGCTGTCCAGAGACCGCTTGTGTTAGGGTCTCTCTAGGCACTTCCCTCACAGACATGGCCGATGAAAAGGAAAGGATGCCCGCCTGGACCAAGATGAAGAAGGAGAGTAGGGGACGACTAGTTTTAGTAGATGTAGAGATTTTCAAAGGTAGAGTAGGGACCCTAGTAGATAGTGGGGCCACGCGCAACTATATCAGTAGAAAGGCGCTGCAGAAGTTGAAGTTGGGGCTAAATGTCCAGAAATTAGCAGACCCCATAGTGAGTATCCTCGCAGACAATCGCACGATGCGAGTAGAGGATTATGTAGAGGGAGTTTAGGCGTACTTTCGCCTAGAGAAAGATGGGAAGGTGGAGAAAGTTCTCCATTCTCTGACTCTCCTCGTAGAGGACAGCCTTCCTTTTGACATAGTCCTAGGAATGGACTGGGGAGAGGCAGCAGGGGCCACACTGCATTTGAGAGAGTACGAGTGTAGGCTCCCTAGCCCGTCGGGCAGGGTCAAGACTGCTCGTTTGTTCCACCTGTCAGGAGTAGACAACTCCTGGCACATTGCTGCCTTAGCGCTCCTGCGTTTGCGAGATTAGTGAAGAAGGAGCAACTAGAAGAATAGGTTTTTGTAGCCTATGTTAGGCCAGTGACTGAGCCTAAAGAGGAGAAACATATAGACCTTGCTATTGCCAAGCTGCTGGAAGAGTTTACAGACTTAGCTAAGCTGCCAACAGGATTAGTACCGCGGCCAATTCAACATCGTATTGAAATAGAGCCTGGCAGTAGGACTCCTAAGGGAGCAGTGTATAGGATGTCCCCACGGGACTCCTAGAGAAGGGTTGGATTAGGCCCAGTTCATCTCCATTTGGAGCACCTGTTCTGTTTGTCCCCAAGAAGGAAGGAGAGCTAAGAATGTGTATAGACTATAGGGGTCTCAATGCGATTACAGTGAAGAATGTAGAGCCACTGCCCCGTATAGATTATCTTTTAGATCGGGTGCAGGGCTGCAAGTATTTTTCGAAGATAGATTTGAAGTCTGGATATAATCAGATAGAGGTCAATCCTGATGATCGGTATAAAACCGCGTTCCAGACTAGATATAGGCACTACTAGTTCATAGTCATGCCCTTTGGACTAACCAACGCGCCAACGACTTTTCAGCGCTGTATGAATGACTTGTTTAGGCCGTGGTTAGACAAATTTGTAATAGTCTACTTAGATGACATTCTGGTGTTCAGTAGGACCCTCCAGGAGCATGAGGGTCATCTAAGGCAGGTCTTGGAGAAGCTCAGAGAGGCTAACTTCAAGATCAACGCAAAGAAGTGCGAATGGGCAAAGACCCAAGTTTTGTATTTAGGCCATGTCTTAGACGGAGACGACATTAAACCAGAAGATAGCAAGATCGCAACGATTAGGGATTGACCTACGCCCCTCACGTTGACAGAGTTGCGGTCGTTCCTAGGCCTAGCTAATTATTACAGGAAGTTTGTCAGGAACTTCTCCACCATCGCAGGTTGCTAATTATTGCATGAAGTTTGTGAGGAGTTGCTCCCCTTCGCAGGTTGCTGAAGAAAGAAACAATCAAGAAGTGGGATAAGGATTGCACGTCTGCCATTAAGAAGTTGAAGCAGGCGTTGATAGAGTACCCGATCCTTAAGGTAGCCGATCCGTCCTTACCTTTCATCGTCACCACTTACGCGAGCCAGTATGGTATAGGTGTTGTACTACAGCAAGACGATGGCAACGGATATAGACCCGTAGAGTTCATGACTGCTAGGATGCCTTCAGAGAAGGTAGCGACATCTACCTACGAAAGGGAACTCTACGCTCTCAGGCAAGCATTGGAACACTGGAAGCACTACTTGCTTGGGAGGCACTTCAAAGTCTACTCAGACCACGAGACATTAAGGTGGCTGAAGACGCAGGCCAAGATGACACTTAAGCTGACTAGGTGGGCCGCAGAGCTAGACCAATATGATTTTGAGCTCAAGCCCGTCAAAGGGAAGTATAATGTAGTTGCGGACGCTCTGAGTAGGAAAGCTGATTACTTTGGAGCGAGCGATAGTTCATTGTCTGGATATAGGAAGAGACCTGCAACAGAAAGTTAGAGAGGCGTACACGCAGGACCCTATCTATAGTGACCTCCTCAAGAGAGTAAAGGAGGCCCCAGAGTTAGAACCAGACTATCGCACTATTGATGGGCTATTATTCGAGAAAACTAACGTAGTTGACCGATTGTCCGTTCCTAACAGTGAAGAGATCCGTAGTTTGATCCTAGGGGAATGCCACGATACCGAGGGACATTTTGGTTGGCAAAAGACACTAGCTAACCTCATGCGCGCGTACATATGGCCTGGGATGAAGGCCGGCTGCATAGAGTATGTTCGCAGTTGTAAGGTCTGCCAGAGAAATAAGACCTCTACGCGTGCCCCTCTAGGTCTTCTCAGACCCTTGCCTATTCCTGATCAGCCAGGAGATTCAATGTCCATTGACTTTATGGACACCCATGTCAAGATTAGGCACGGCAAGAGCCAAGTCATGGTAATAGTTGACAGGTTTAGTAAGTATGCTGTTTTTGTTCCTTTGCCCTCAGAGGCATGCACATAATTAGTTATCCCGAAGTTCTTTGATCATTGGGTCAGTGAACACGGGATTCCACTGTCTATAGTTAGTGATAGAGACACCCGTTCATTAGTCAGAACTAGCAGGAGTTGATGAGAGTCTATGGCTCCAAGTTGTTGATGTCATCTGGCCGTCATCCAGAGACTAACGGTCAGAGTGAACAGATGAATAAGATTTTGCAACAAGTTTTGCGTATGTACATTAGATCGGATTAGATCAATTGGGATGAGATGTTGCCCAAAGTAGCCAGTGCGTACAATAACAGCGTGCACTTGTCTACCTGTCGCACTCCCAACGAGTTACACAAGTCCTTTAGACCACGCAGACCGTTTGAGGGACTTAACCAGGATCAGATTCACAGGCTACCGCCCGATACTAGGGAGTTTGCGTTACAGCACGAGAAAGAGTTAGCTACCGTGGTAGAGAACCTCGAGAAAGCCCAGCACCGAGAACAAGCTAATAACGCCCGTCACAGTTCCAAGTAGGCGACCTGGTCTGGGTCAAGTCCTAAGAGTTTGCTCTTGAGGAAAACATCTCGCAAAAGTTACTGCCCGCGTATAGAGGACCGTGGCCAGTTCTGAAAGTTAAGGGCGGAGAGGATGGGCCGTCCTACACAGTAGAGATCCCAGCACACCTCCACACCTACCGTGTGTTTCATGCCTCAAAGTTGTTGCCGTGTGTCACAAGTCAACAATTTCCATCTAGGAGATCCATGATTCCTCCATATATGGACGAAAGGTATGACATTGACGGCATTGTAGGTGAAGACGTATTCAGAACAGGAGGTAGAGGTCGTCCATAGAAGCAATATAAGGTTCGGTTTGCTTATCAGGAACCAGAGAACGACCGCTGGTTTACTAGAACAGAACTTCTAGAAACAGCTCTCGACATAGTTAGAGCCTACGAGAGAAATAAGAAAGGTAAAGGTCCTGCCTTGGACTGAGTTATTCTCGGAGGACCTCGAATTTAGGCCGGCAGGAGTGAAACGGTGTTCACCTTTTAGCAGTAGTGAATACAGATCCCAGGGCTCGATCCCTAGTTCTCACCTCACCTGTGTACAATATCTGTGTCGACCCCAAGTGTTTGAACCCATGACCTGTGTTTTGATAGTTGTTGTTGTCTGTTGTAGGTCTGTGTAGTGGTAGGGGTTCGATTTGTAGGTCTGTCGAGTAGGAGTCACAGCCCTGTACAGGTCGTAGCTGTAGGGATCCTGAAAGGTCAAGGTCGTAGCTGCTACAGTCCTGAGAGGTCAAGGTCGTAGCTGCTACAGTGCTCGAAAGGCTAAGTCCACGAACTTCCGGAAGGTCCGAAAGTGGCCTTTCGAAGCTGCTCACATTTGAGACAGAGGCAAGTGGGCAAGTGGTGGAGTCTACCCGTGCTGAGTCAGCAGTCCAAGTCCCAGTCAGTCCTAGTCCAGTCCAGCAAGTGTCGTACGGGACTGTGTGCACCACGGGCATGGGAAAGGGCCAGACCAACGAGCTACAAAAGTATAAATTGAGAGGCAGCGACCAACCATTCATTCATTTTCCTGCGTAAGCCATGCGGAAGCGCTGCCATAGCGACTTGTGCGAGGTGGTCTGCAGTGAGCCCGAGGACGAAGTGGGCGAGAAGAAGCTTAGCCATAGCGATAGGGTAGCGGCGGCCATAGCCGCCATAGCTGTAGATGTGTGTGGGTGTATGTGAGTGTACAGAGTGTGATGTGTGTGGGATATCCAGGGTGATCTTGTGTGCGAACAGCAGTGTCAAGTAAGTGACGAACAAAGAGTTGTACAAGCGATGTGCCGCCATAGCTAGTTGAAGTGAACTTGTATCTAAGCTGCATTCTGGGTTACCATATCTCTGAGTTCAGAGTGGGCGCTTGATGCCAGTTTGCTGCGCAACCTGTTTGCATGCATGTGAAGTGTGAATGAAAGCGAGTCTGATTGCATTTACGCTGGTTGGATTTGAACCAAGGGTTACCCCAAGGAAATCGTTTGCGACCACGACACTCGGTTCATGCCCGATTTTTGGTTGGCGCTCATCAAACGATGGGGCTCATCTCTCAAGCCAAGATCGGCTCGCCACCCCCAAACTGATGGCCAAACGGAGAGGGCGCATCAGACCGCACAGGTTCTCCTTCGCACTCTCATCCGTCCCGACCAAAAGGATTGGGTTGAGCGGCTGCCGGATGTCGAGTTGGCCTACAACTCGTCCATCCACCCGGCTATCGGGATGTCGCCCTTCGAGTTCGAGCACGGCTCGCCGGTCACTTCACCGTTGGACACAATCATTCCACGAACGGCCGAGAGCGACGACCATCTTTTTTTCTTGTGTTGGATGCAAGAGCTACTTGTCAAGGCACGCGACCAGATGGCCAAGACGCAGCAACGCATGAGCCAACAGGCCAATCGCCAACGTCTTCCTTGCCCATTCCGCGCCGACGATCTCGTTTGGGTTTCCGCCTTGGAATTCACCCTTGAACAAATGGATGGGGCCCTGGCCGATCATGGCACCCGAGGGACCTTCCTTCACTATTCAGGTGCCCGCCCACTTGCCCGTCTATCCAGTCTTTCATTGCTCCAAGTTGGCTCTTTACACGCCAGCGGAACATGACGATTTTCCCGGGCGATGTTCACAAGACCCACCCTCTATGGACGGTTTTCAGGAGGTCGGCGACATCATCTCCCAGCGACGCTACGACAACAGGCCAACCGAGTACTTGGTACATTTTGCATACTGCACTCACAAAGCTGACCGTTGGTTGACCCGTGCGGAACTCCAAGCAACAGCTCCGGATGTTCTCGCACTCTACGAACGCAAAATGCAAGGCAAGCCGGTATCTTCGGCTCCACGTCGCACCCGCGTCCAGGTTCCACCTTCAGATCGTCAGCTTCGCCCTCGACCCGGCTTGACTTCATAAGGAGGGGGGGGTGTTACATGCTGCGCCCGCAACAGGCTGCACGGGCCATTTCCAGGCCTGTGACGTTTTCAGGCCAAAAGCCTGAAAACAAGGGCCTACAGGCCCTGTGTCGTTTCAGCCTGAAAGCATGAAAACAAGGGCCTACAGGCCCTGTGTCGTTTCAGGCTAAATCAGGGCCTTTCCGGCCCTGAGTGTTTTCAGGCTGAAACTGAGGGCCATTTCCGGGCCCTTATCAGTTCGACCTGCCCTGAAACTCAGGCAACAAACCAGGGTTTTAGCACAGGCCATTTCGGGCCTGTTTTCAAGACAACCCCTGGTTGAGCTTCAACGCCAGGGTCTGGCACGTTTCGGCATTGGCAAGAGCAGCCTCCTGGACGGGCCACCACTATATAGGACTGGCCCGCCCTGCAGGCAGGCAGGTAGTTCCTAGGTACTTCCCAGGCACTTCACGTGGAGTTCAGGAGGCAGGAGGTAACCTTCAGGATTTGGCAGCAGCACTCTGGAGGAGCGCTGCAGGAGTAGTAGTAGCGTTAGCGGTAGCCTTCAGCGCTGGGCCCTAGTAGCGTTAGCTGTAGTCTTCAGTGCTGGGCGCCATAGCAGTTAGAGTAGTACCATAGAGAGAGAGATTGGGCGGACGCCAGAGGGACTTACCTCCAGCGCCATTGCTCCAGCTTCGTCTTCGAGGTACCTGCAGCACAGCGCCATCTTCACAGGTTAGTACCTGGCACATGAGAGAGAGAGTTCTTCCTCTTCCTCTTCTCAGTCCACCATCTCCTTCTCACCCTCTCGCTATCTGACTTCACTGCATCAGCAGACTACGAGGGAGAGAGAGAGCTTGGTGACATTTGGATCCAGACTCGACGTTGGGCTTCAGACATTTTGAAGAGGGATTATTTGGGACTTGTAACGAGACTTGGTGTTGACGACTTTCCCATCTCCCCCTTCCTCTTCTTTGTCTGATCCCCTCCTCTTCGTCTGTGTATGTCTGGACCTGGTGCCTCCTTCCTGTGTATAGTGCCAGGCCCCTTCACACCTTGTGATGAGCATGATGTATGTTTGGTCTGCGTTGCAACGTTGATTGGGCTAGTCATTGGTATTCTAGCATTCTGCTGCGCTGTCTTGCACTACGTGAAAGAGGTCAATCCCAGTCAGGTCAGGACTTGTATCTAAATCCTCCACTGCGCTATAAAACACCACTTTGTATGTATCAGGATGTACTCTGCTTGTTGAGATTCTACTTGCACTGCATTGTCCATTCAGTCCTTTTTATCACATTGCGGATCCTCGGTTTTACATATACATCGCCCAACTGGGCATGTAACACACACACACACACACACACACACACACACACAGAGA